TCTAGCTTAGATGTGAAAGAAGTCCTTCAGCGTACTGTGAGAAGTTTTGATTAATGCCTTTCCATGGCTGTAACGAATAGAACTATCTTTTACTATTTATTTTTAGTTTTACAGGCGAAAGTACGCGGCAATATTCTAACAGTATGGAATGAGACAATTCCAACTGAACCCATACTGCTCGTGCTGGAACAGATACATGTTGAAGCATCGGAGAGTGAATTGGGAGACTTTTCTTTTACTGTTAATTATAGATCAGGTTCTATAAAATTACATGCTTCTGATGAAGCACAACGAGGGAAGTGGATGTTGAAGGTTTCCTTTTTTTAATATAATACCTAAGTTTTCGCATTTTTCGAAATTTAAAACGATTAACTTTTTGAAAACATTTTTCCTCTCATTATGCTCCACACCACTTTTTTGGAATTTTTTGCTGTCGTTTAGGTCTTTGTTGGTAATAAAGAGGCTTTCAGCTTTCTCTTTCGTCACACCGAATGGCTCAAGCAGAGCTTAATGAAATTGCTGATCGGTATTTCAACGCTGCTTCAATGAAGGCCAGTGAGCCTCCCAGCAATAGCTCGTGCTCTTATTTTCTCACAAACCCTTTTATAAAACAGTTCAAGTTTTCCATCCCACAGGTTAACTATAACTTCGATGAGCTTTCTGGCTTTTGTTTGGAAAGGAAGGGACGATAAGGTTTAGGGCCAATTATTGAATGGTTAAAGATTTTGAATGAGTGTAGTGACTATTAAGACATCTTCCAGCTTTGTATAGTAAAGATGTTTTACTGACTTATTAATGATTTTGCATAAAGTCGGCAATTTTACTATCTTTTTCAAACTTTCATGTTTAGCAGTTTAATTTGCCATCACGCAAGATCAGTTGTGAGGAAGTAATGTGGGAAAGTAAGTTGAGTCTAATTTTACCCACTGAAATGGTAAGGCTTTTTCTGAAGTGGGCTAACGAAATGAAGGAGGAGGTGGAGAAAAGGCTGTGGAGTTTAATACCTGAACGACAAGCTGACCCACTCCATAACACAATAAGGTATGATATTGATTTGTAGTCTTTTCGTTGTAGTTTGAACTTCTTAAACTTTTGTTTTCGTATACAGGCATGTCTCTTTTAATCAAGAAACGTACACTAATTCGCTGGAATTTCTGGAGTCGTACGCGGGTCCATCTTTCCGCGCTTCGGTTGAAAAGTATCGCATAGTTTTTGGAGCTGTTCCTACAAACCTTCATGTTCAACAGTTTATGGTAGAAGGACATAAATATTCTTATATTACAGCTGGTACAGCAAGTGCTATTTCGATGAGATTTGCCGTTCGTTCTTCTGTATAATTCTTATTTTTTCTGTTTTAACAAAATTACGCTTAATATTGTTCTATTTTGTTGTTCAGAGAGTGGTGTGTAGAACAACGTATATTATTTCAACTGTTTTGTGGATATGAGCCTTAGTTTTAGTGAAATATTTTCTTTAGCAAGGCGGTATGTCACGGATGCGGCTTGCTCTTCACAAGTCGCTGAACGATCCGGAAAGAATTGACCATATTTTGGATTCCCGTTTTTTTTACAGGCGTCGTATTTTAATTGCTGCTAAAACTGCTATAGGAAGTTTAAGTCGACGCATTGAAACTGATTGGCATATGGTTAAATTTGGTAATATCGACAAAATTGGTGTTCAGTTGCTAGCTGAAGTTAAACAGGTGCTTGGTTATTTTCTGCTTTCGCGTTTAGAAAATATATGTTTGAACAACCTTATCGAACTTTTCCTCTTATGCTATAAAATAGTGGCATCTTTTTTTTTAGTTGCATGAAAATTTAATTGATTTAATCAATTCTTTTCCTGGGGTGAGCACTCTGGTTGATCTTCTTTGTGATTGGAGTCACGAACGACTTGCTATATCTGCAGATCGCTATGACGTCAAGAGGGCAAGTAAATAAGCAGAATTAATTTGGAGTAAAAATTTTGTTTTAAGAAGTTTTATTTCAAATTTTTAGTTGTTTTCTGGACTGAAGTTGAATTTCTACATTTTAGACTCAACAACTCGTTAGAGATGGTTTAGATAGTCAGCTTGACACATTGGATGCGTCTATGATTAGTTTGAACACTAAGATGGCAGTTCTTGATACCGTGCAGAACAATGAAGTGAGTATTCATTCAAATTTTTTTTTATTCCGAAGTGTCAAATGAAAAGTCTGAGGCAGACGAACCAAAATACACGTTATATTTAAGTTTTTCAAGTTTTTTTATCATAGTTTCTTCATAACACTAACATAGGATGCAAGAAGGGAATACGAGAAGAGCGCCAAGCAGGCAATCAATTCATGTCTAGACTGCATGTTGCAGTTAGTTGAGACAGTTTTGGATGCACTTTATTTAGGTAAAACAAGTTTATTTTTTTATTTATCAAGAAGAGGAACGATTGATTTTTGAAACTAGTCATTTTTGTCTTTAGGAGACTTTACGCTAACAGCATTAATACTTACCACAGTTCATTTGAGGCCTTGTGACGGCACTTAGACGTAGTACTGACAGTCAGCTTTTCTATCACCTCCAAGCTAGAGGAGATTTGGCTTTTTCGCAAGCGGTAACCATTGTGGCGACAGGCATTTTAACAGCACTTGAAGGTGAAGTGTCAGATTGGATAAAACATCCGTTCATTACAGTAGGTTCTTATATATTTGGCGCTCTGCAGTAGTTGCAGCAGAACATTGTTTGATTCTCTGAGGGAATTATAAACTTCATGCATTGCTGGGATTTTATCAATGATTTAGTCGGGAATTATTGTTCGAGGGAGCTATTTTTAAAATAGACCTGTTGTTGTTCAGGTTTTTTCATTTCTTTCTTGTCATGGCGATGAAAAAGGGATGTTAGAAGATGCGCGTGATTGTTGGACTTTGTTACCTGATCGAGTGGAGTTTAAATTTGTTCAGTGTTCGTCTTCAGTTAGTTCTACTTGTGTTCCGACAGTTACTGGTGACCGACTAAAAGTGGCAGTGCATTTGCCCCTTCTTCCTAATGCCTTTCAGGTTTTATTTTGCAACTTTTCTGCAGACGTTTTTGATTTGTACCTGTCATGCCATACATTGTGCAATAATATCTTTTGCATTTTCTAATGTAATGTTAGAAGCTTTGAAGATTGTTTTATTTTATAGGTTTTATCACCAATTTTATCATGGGGAACGTGTAATTTTTTTTGATTTTAGAAGGATTTGTTACATACTGTAAAATTTCGTGTTGGGGAAGGTGGGAGGTCGCTTAATTTTTTAACTAAAACTTCAAGTTTTCTCTGTGAGGAATGACGTATTCTTCCGAAGTGATTTTGTTGAATCATTTCCTTGCTTATCGTAGCATCTTTGTAGTAGCTCTCTTGCATTATCTGCCTTGCTGTTCTTTTTTCACTGTTCGTAGTTGTCTGTGGTTTCAGGCACTTCCTGAGTCGCTACGTAACGGTGATGCGTTTAGCGTGCGGGTTGTCTTTTGGAACCTCGGAATCAATCATGAAGCAACTTTGTCGCAGTCTATAGCTGGGGATTCATCACTTGAAAGATCTATTAATATCCTAGCTGCTAACAATCTGCAGTCATACGTTAACACTCTTGAGCATCCTTCTCAGTCGCTTACTGAAACAGTTGCAGATCTTTGTGCTTCGGTATGCGTAATGTGCAGTTACTTGAAATTTATTAATTTTTTCTGTTTTTGAATACTTTATTAATTGGGTGGTGGCTTATATGTTTTTTGCTTTTGCCTTTTTTTGAGAGTTTTCAGCGTTTGCTTCACTTATGACTCGTTCCAGGTAAGTAGCAACCCTACAAATAAGAATTTAACAATGTATCGTCTGGCTATGAAGGCAAACCGTGAACTTTGTGGAATTCCTGTGCTTTGTTGTAAAAGTGGGAAGGATCGGACTTCAATGGCTGTAACACTTGAGGAGGGAAGACTTATCAAAGAAAACTGCGGCATAAATGAAGATCAAGTATATTAACTTTTTTCTAAGAATATTAAACTTCCTAATAAAAGTTTGATTTTTTTATACTTGCACATGAAAGCAATATCGTTTTACTTTGATAGCACATTTTTTTTAGATGGCTGATATGTTGGTATGTTTAAGAAGGGATGGCGTAAGGCGAGAGAACTGCAGAAAAAACGTGGGCAAGCCTTTATATTCATTTTCTCCTTTCCAAATGTATTTTATTCCAAGGGAAATGAGACCGCCAGCTGGTACTTTTGCTGCAGGTGTTGCTAGTTAAAATGACATTCCCTGTGCATTTCTGCTTTATTTTTCTTGCAAATTAACTATGTTTTATAATTTCTTCTCAACGTTAAAGGAAGTTAGTTCGGAAAGAAGCTTCTTATTGGTTTTAAGACATAAAACTGAAAGTGTTCTTCAATTTGATTTACGGTGGAAGCATAAGTATGATAAGCTGTCTTTTTTTGTGTCTACACCTTTCATTCATCAATTCTCAAAATTCATTTTTGTTTCGTAAGTTTTCTAGACATTTTTATTTTTTTTCTGTTTTTGGCAAAGTTTTTTTGTTAACTTCAGAGAAAGAGATTTGGGAAGGTGAGGATAGTTGTTAATTTATTTCAAGTTGCTTATTTTGGGCTTTGATTTACTTTTGTTTTTTTAAAGTTCTCTTGTTCTTTGGTTCTTGGATGTCGTGATTGCTTCAAGTTGCTAATAAGTTGTATTTCTTAACTTTATATAAAGTTAGGTAGCTGTAGAGTCGGCTCTGATAATCCTATTTTACTGTTTTGACTTTTCGTTATATTTTTGTTGTGTTGTTTTAATTGAATTTCCTGGCTGTTTATTTGCTTTAATAAGCTTTTTTTAAAATTTTTTATGAGAGCCGCATAATGTTTTGTGGTTGCCTGTCAGATATCACTTCCTTTCCACAGATTTCTGGTAAGCATTTGCTAATACTTTTCAGACGTTATAATTGTTTCTCTCGTTCTAAAGGAACGGACTTTCTACATTTTTTAAATGTAAAACTGCTGTGGGATGTCGTGTCTTTTTTTACTGTTAGTCACAGGTTGTGAATTTATTTTCTAATGATATTGTTAAAATTTGTCATCAGAATTGGTTAGTAAGTGTGCGTCAAATTTATAAGGTATTGGGACTGAAGTTATATGCTTTTTTGTAAACGTCTGAGATTGGAGCCTTAATTGCTGGGACCTTCCTGCCATCTCTTTTTTGACAGGTTCCCTTAAACTTCTTTTTCTGTAACCGCGGAGGTTTTCTACCAATGGATGGTGGTTCTTTCGCATAGGGATGGCAAGTGGTTGTTGTCGTCTTACAATTGTAATTCTTGAACGATTGCTGCCACATACTTCGTTGCTTTGTTGCCGATTGTTTTTGCAGTCTCTAATACTTCCAGGTGAGAAGGGTCGGCTTCCTTGTTAGCGCTATAATTGCCGTGCTTTAAGTCGAAATTTAGAAAATTTTTTTTTGTAATTCTAGCTTCAGCCTGGATTCGCCAGTAAAACCTAGTTTTGTTGCGCTGCTAGAGAGAGTTTGTTTTAATCACAGAATGGGAGTGGTTGATGCAGCACTGGTAGGAAGGGATGTGGTTTTTAAATTTTCTCTATTAGTACAAGTTTTTTCCAATGTTCATCGTATAATGTGTATCAGAGGTGGACTGAAGAAGAGCAGGTAATAAACTCACATATTCGTGATAATCGATATTCCTAGGACTTTGATGTTACATTGACGTGCAGCTATTACTTCGTGACAGGTAGACATGCCTAAAAGCGTTTGGTGGGGACCACTGATTAACAAAAGGGCGGCAATTAAGTTACTATATTATACATACAAGGAGAAGGGAGGATGCCATCAAACGTTTTTCTGAAAAATTTGTTAGATTATCACACAAAATGAGTACCTAGTGCGTCACCACCAATGGATTTGTAAAATTGGATCTCAGCACCAGATTCATACTGAGGTCCTCCAGACATCACGTAAACACCTTCCTGTACTGATATATCTTGTTTTAGGGCTATCTCCAAAGCTATTTTTCTAAACATGGGGTTGTTTTCAATAGTTGGATATCTGGTTATTTAGTGAAAGAACGCTTTATATTTATGCTAGCTTTGTATGCAGCTTGTAGTCAAATATTTTCAGAATAATCTTTACGTCAAGTATTACCATTTTTGCATTATAACTTGAAAAACATATGAAATGAAACTTCGGACGAACACCGTTCGTCGTGAAGATAAACCAAAAGATGGTTAATTCTTGACACAGAGCCGCAGGTTGCATAAAACCTAAGCATGTAACATGATTGCTTACCGTAAGTTATCGTCGTACTGATTCTTCAACGAAACGAACCTCGCGCCCCATCTAGAGTCGTTTAAGCCTACAAGTGGCGAGTAGCCGCAGAGCGCTGGCATACAAACATGATCTGTGATAAGCATGAAATCTCCTTTCTTGAATTTTTCGTTTACTCCTCCCGCTGCGTTTGATACTATCAAGATCTTAACGCCGAAAAAGTGCATCAGCCGAACCGGTAACGAGCACTAAAATTAAGACGTCTTTGCTGTTTCTCAGGAACGATGGGGAAGTTACGTAATTTTTGAAAAAAGGTATTGTGCATAGGGAAAAAAAGTCTAGCTAGAATTTTAGCTCAACTTTTTTTAACAATTATAATGCGCTTAATCTGTACTACACATGCGAAGGTACTTTTAATTAGCTACAGAGTGCTGTCTTCTTTAAGCAATTTTAAGTTTAAAATGCTTTTCATAGATCGCTTTCTGCCTTAACTAATAAGTTTTACAAAAAAAATATCTTTTAATAGAATCATAGCACCAAGGTGAGGTCCATTCCGTGTTCGTAAGGATGAAAACGGCCTTGGAAGCATACCACATACTTTCCGCCTAGTTTTCCAAACAGTAAGTTCCCTTTATGGCCAGGAACTGAAGGCAAAAGAATCGCGGATTTCCAAGAAAACAAAACATGGAAATTTGGCTGCAAAAGATGACCATTGATAATCATATAATAATTGAAAAATTGTAACCATTGGTTTGTGGAAAGCCTGGAATATCCGTGTAAGAAACTGTAATTTTGTCGACAATTGCATCGCCAATATCAGCCAGCCCTGAGCCGCATATAATTCCAATTGTTGGGTTTTCCAAAAAGTTCACTTTTGCTTTAAGAGATTCGGCGAGGCGCATGACGTCATCATAATTACGTGGGCTGATAGAAGAAATTTAGATTTTAAAAGTTGTTTTAATTGATGATTTTTCTATTATCTAATTTAACACCGCTTTAGCTTTTTTGTTTGTAGGGCAATGCAACTGGAAACTGTTGAGTTTGTTATTCAGCTCAGGTAACTTTAGTGAGCAGATTGTGTGAAAATTTTCGTAAATTTTAACTGTAAGTGTTGAAGATGTGTGTTTGTGTGTTTGTGATGCATCTGAATAATGTTTTAAACGGGTTGATCATACTTACTCAGTCGGTCTCAGCACTTTTAACAATTTCGAGTAGGCAAATGAGAGCATACTGGATGCTGACAGCAACCGCTTCTAAACTTTCTTCTCAGCTGCAGCAATTTTTTTTTTTTTGTAAAAATACAAGACGATGTTACTTTTCATTTATAACTGTTATTATCAGGCTGAATAACGGTACATACGTTATTTGGATTTCAGTATAGTAACTAAACTTTTATCTTTCTTTGTAAATGGGATGCAGAACCAGTACGAGAAGTTTTTGAACTGGGTGTTCTGAAAATATGCTGTTTGTCATAGTGTATTTCTAAGTGTTTCTGATCTCACCTACATCATTCTGTTCTTTACTATTTAAAGTTTTTGAAGTGACATTACTTAATCCTGGTTTGTTTTTTTTTTT